TGTTTAGAGGTGGTATCAACGATAGAGACTCAAGCATGAGCAAGTTGTTCCCACACTTCCAGTTGAGCCTCTTGCACCTCCCATTACTAAAGAGATAACAGGTCAGACCTCTTCTACCCTCACTACATTTCCAGACTTGGACCTACCTATTGCTATTAGAAAAGGTAAACAGAAATATACAGCTCATTGTATGTCCAAACACCTTTCTCATCTCATAGTCTGCTTTCCCCTACCTACTACTCTTCTTAGTCTTTGTTTCTTCACAAACCATCCATAAATCTATATCAAAATCCTTGACTACACTAGAATGGAGAGATGCTATGAGGCCTAAGATACGTTCTTTGCATAAGAACAATACCTAGGGCATTATGGATTTGCCCAAGGGGAAGGAGTCGAACGATGGTAAGTGGGTATTACACTATCAAATATCAATTACCACGCTAATGGTACTATCGAGAGGTATAATGCCCATTTGGTAGCCAAAGGGTACATCAAATGTATGGAATTGACTACTTAGAGACATTTGCTCTTGGTAGGCAAAGGCTCTTTTGATGTCAAGAATGCTTTCTTGAATGTTGATCTGCATGAGGAAGTTTATATGTCTTTGCCTCCAGGCTTGTATGGGAAAAAGAGCAAGCGAAGGTGTACAAATTAAAGAAATCCCTTTATGGACTCAAACAGTCGCCAAGGGCTTGGTTTGAAAGGTTCTGGGTTGCACACTTGCACTTGTCACTTTTGGATACACAGACTCAATCCGTCTCTCTTTGTCAAGAGACGAAACTCCTTGGTGACATTTCTTTTTTTATCAACAACAAAGAAAATACTTCATTAATTAGAAAAAATCAGGTTACAACAAGAAGTTGTGAAAATAAAAACCTGCTTTAGAAGCTGACCCAAACCAAGATTACATTCAAGCCCAAAACATTATATGTTCTATGAACCCCTTGTTTGGCTAAGCTATCTGCCAAACTGTTGGCAGTTCTCACCCATCTCACTCAGATTAACATGTCCTTTGATAGACATTTAAATCTCCTAAATTCATTCCTCAAATGCCATGTCACCCCCTCCCTCTTGTGCATCCATTTTACCACAATTTTCGAGTCACCCTCAATAATCAGTCTACTAGTATCATGTTCTTTTGCCTTCTCAACCCCATTCACTACAGCCAAGAACTCTGACCTTGCCACATCACCTTGCTCTACAAGACCAGAGTATAAAGCAAGTATGGTTGATGATATTGTGGTTACTAGTGATGTCCAAGAAGTTCACAGCCTCAAGAAGTTTCTCAACATTGAGTTTGAAATTAAAAACTTGGGGGAGATAACGTATTTTCTGGGGATAGAAGTTGCTTGGTCTAAGGAAGCTATATTCATTTCCCAACAGAAGTATGTCCTTGACCTTCTTACCAAGACTAGAAAACCTAGAAACAAGCCTGCCTCTACACCTATATATTTGATTCATAAACTCTCGGCTACTGATGGTGAATTATTGGTTGATAGGGGGGACTGTTCTAGAGACTACTTGAAAAATTATTATACCTTTGCATATGACTACTTGGGAAGTTATTGTACCTTTGGATGACTCAGTTGGATATTTCCTTGCAATAAGTGTCATTAGTCAATTCATGCATTCTCCCAGAGATGTCCATATGGCGACGAATGAAAGGGTATTGTGTTACCTAAAGGGAACCCAGGGAAAGGAATTCATTTTGCCAAACATGGGTATATGAAGCTATATGTGTATACAAATGCAGACTGTGCCAGTTGCATTGATGACAAAAAATCCATCTCAAGTTATTGTGTTATGGTAGCAGGGAACATTGTTTCATGGAGGAGTAAGAAGCAATCAATGGTGGCTAGATCTTTTGCTAAGGATTAGTTGTTTTGGACCCAGTTGTAATTTTTGTGTTGTTTTCTTTTAGAGAGTGAGGTTACACCTCGCACCTCCCCTTAGGATGCTTGTAACAGTCATATCTTTTTCTTGATAATGAATTTTTAATGAACTTTTACCTATCAAAAAAAAAGATAATCAAGCAACTATCAACATTGCCCATAATCTCGTTCATCATGACATAAGAAAGCATATTGAAGTAGATAGACATTTCATACGGGAGAGAGTCACTTCAAGGGAAGTCTGCTTGCCATTTATTGCTTCTAAAGAACAATTAGCCAGTGTCTTGACTAAGGTTCCAAAAGGGAAGTTACTAGTTACTACATTATATAAACAACTTGAGGGGGAGTGTAGAGAGACTGGGCCGAATGGGCCCTAGTGCTCTTATATTCTTGCCTTCCTTTTATTAGTTATGTTTATGTTAATGGGCCTTGTCCATATGGACTTGTTAACTTCTTTTTATTCATCTTATGTTATGTTTATGAGTTGGCTGCCCCAATAAGGGCATCATTGTAATTATGTTCATTATGATTAAGTAGACAAGTGATTAGGAGAAAGGAGAGAAAACTTATCAAAGTCTCTTCTCCTTCTCCCTTCTTCTTTTCTCATCTTCTTCCTATTCTTCTCTTGCTATCTTCCCTTTTCTTTATTTTTCAAATTAAAATATTCTCTTTATGTTGGGTTGATTCACATCCGAAATTTGCATAAATAGTCTCACCACTAGTTTCAAATTTTCCAGCCAATCTCCCTCCCCTTTACTAAAGATAATAATGTCATCAATAAATTGGAGATAAGTCAACACCACTTCCTCACTCCCTGCTTTCAAACCTCTAATCAGTTGCAACCCATCTGCTCTTATAATCAACCTACTAACCACATCAGCCACCAAATTAAAAAAGAAAAGGGGAAAGTGGATCCTGTTCTCCTAGACCCCTTTCTTTTAAGTCTTGTCTTAGACCCCTTTAACAGGAAAGAAATCTCTTACAACTCCATTAACCAAAACTGAATAGGTGCATGTTTGCAAACAGACCTTTAATTGCACCAACCCTCTCCAAATCCACGCCTCAAAGCATCAATTAGAAAGTCCCAATCCATCATAATGCCAAATTCAATTTGCACATCAAGCCCTTCCTACTAAATTTTCTTTCCTCAATACTTTCATTATCTATCAAAATTTGATATGTGATCTGCCTATCCTAAATAAAGCCTCCATGAAACTGAGTTATCAAATTTGGTAGCACCACCACCTTAAGCCTCAAAGAGAGGACCTTAGCAATAATCTTATATACACTATTCACCAAGCTAATGGATCTGAAGTCCTTAGGGTGAAAGGCTTTCTTTGGTAGTACCACCTTTTATTTCTTCTTTTTCTTCTCATAAATATGTTGATTTTCTATGTTATTTCACATGGAACAGGAAAATAATTAGTTAAAGACTACTGTTGATTACTATGAGACCTAGGGAACTACCCTAGATTTTATATATATTTATTATAAAAAACTCATCGCCTTAGCAACTAGGCAAGCTTTGAAAACTATGGATGTTTCTACAAGACCTACATGATATATTTGTAGGGCCCACATATTTTTGTTTTGTGGGCCCATGTGTGGTTTTAAAAATGTGCACGTATTTGTGGGACCCATGTACATGTCCCATGGACTTACATCATGCATCAATTGTTAAACTCCACCACCTTTACCAAATGGCCTTTTGATCTTGTTTTTTTATAAAGATATCTTGAAATAGAAGCATTGCCTAAGGTCATTTGATCTTCAAAGACTCTTGAAAGCTCAACATGACATTGATTCATTAAGCTTTTGAAAAATCTTTTAATAAGGACTTTCCAAACGGCACCCCTTATTTTCTTTGCGTGAAGGTTACTCAAACATTACAAGGGTATTTTTTAAATCAACAGAAGCATGCACTAGATTCAATAAAGTTGGCTAACCTCACTAATGATAAGCAAGTAGACACACCTATGAAGATTAATGTTAAATACACTAAAAAATATGGTGACCTCATTCTGATGTCACTCTCCATAGACAACCAGCGATATATCTTTCTATGACGTGCATGGACAGTGTAGATCACAAAATCATTCATTATCGTCGAACACCCTCTTATGGGTTTTCCCTCCTAATCACTCCAATTCCAAGCCTATAGCTTGAAATCCAATTTTTTCACAAGCACACCAACATAATGAGGTAGACTGTCATTTTATTTGTAACCTTATTCTAACAAAGACCAACCCTCCCTCGTGTAGCTTCTGGTCATCAACTAGCAAACATCTTTATAAAAGCATTGACACAAACATGCCATGAGCTTAACAAACTATTTTTGTCCCCACATCAGTTTGAGGAGGGAGTACAAAGTAGGAGAGTCATTGAGTTATGTTTTACCAATATTACTGTACATCAAATGTATTTAATCATTATATGAGCTGTACCTAGAAAGGTACTGATGTAATTTCCCATACTTTAATTTAAGTATTATCTTCTCTCTTGGTAAGCCAATCAAGAGAGACTGCCCTCTTAATCATGAGTTTGGTTTTTCTTCTCTCTTACAAACTGCATCACCTACGATTAGGTAAGTAAAATGTTCAATAACAAAAAAAAAGTAAAACAATGTAAGAGATAGAAATGGCTCGGTTATGGCTATATTTTCAGGACTGATAGGGATTAAAGACTCATTAAATGCGGAAATCTTGGCACTGTACATGAGCTGAGATTAGTCAAGCATCTTGAACTCCAACAGGTGAATGTAAAAGGGGACTCAAAGCTGGTAATCTCATGGCTGAACAGCAAGAGTGAAGGAGTGTTAACTCATAAACAAGCTTTAAGGAAGATTAAATGTACTGCTAAGGAAATTGAAGCAACTTTTTCTTGGGTCAGAAGATCTGCTGATGGTTCGGCTGATTCATTAACCAAGCAAGGGGTATCTAGGAATCAATTGTTTTGGTTTTGGGCTGTGGTGTAATGTCTATTGATTGGACTGGGTTGTTCCAGCCTGGATTGTAAATTTGTATTTCATCCAAATTATAATTATAATTATAATGAAATCATTCTGTTATTGATCAAAAAGCATATATATAAGAGATCACAAGAATATACCTTTTCAAGAGAAGATTTAATTTCTTGAAGCGGGCTTGCAACCTGGTTTTGGCCACCAAATAGATTAAGAACACCACCTGACTTTTTCTTGTCCATCTTCAAGAAAACACGGAATGTCAGGATTGATTCCTCAATTATCCTAATTAGGTCAGAGGCATGGACCGCCAAATCTGACCCTTCTTCAAATTCTTTCGGGTCCAGAACTGAAAAGAAAAACAAAGTGAAGTATATCAATTTGCTATACAAGGATGGAAATCCACTTTGTTTTTTCAAGAAGTGTTTTCATTTTTCTTTAAGAAAAGATCAAAGAGGTGCTCCACTCAAATGCTTGCACCCACTCACTCCCTCCACAATAACATTTACCTTGAATGCTTGGAACCTGAAGCAGCTTGGGCAAAGAATTTCTTGTTCTAGTATAAATTTCCACCCTGTTTCCCCTGTCAAAGGGCTCATTCTCAATGTATCTTTGTAACAAAACCTGAAATTGCTGGAACTGCTGAGCAGCATGAGTGTAACTGGTGGGACATTCAGGTTGTGATGAGATTTTCTGGTTCAATTGTGCATACTGGCAGTGAAGTGCCTCCCATGACAAACAAATCTGTGCAACATAAGCTGTCTCAAGATCTTGGTAAGGGTCTTCCAGCTTCTGCTGCAGATGCTCACTGTCATCTTGAGGCTCTCGCTTCTTGAAAGAGAGGTTGCGGAGGGTAGAAGCTAGCTTCCTAGGTGTAGACCTTGGTGACAGATTTGAAGGAATTTGGGATCCTGTAATAACACAAGGCAGAGTTGCAATAGGGTTCAAAGACAATATTTTTCATCTTTTAAAAGACAACCACTTAATGGAGAATAAGATAGTTTTGAAATCAAGACGTGTTCTGAGCCTAAGAACATGTAGAGAAGCTGGCAAATGTAGTGGACTTAAACACAGGAAAGTAATCATTAAGGGAGTAAACAAATGTTTCTCACCAATCATGATATTTGATATTCATTTACATACTTGCGATCTGAGACTGGAGTACCTTCATAACAGGCTACAACTTGGATGTACAGTGTAAAAATCTTACAAATTGGATAATCTGAAGATTATAATTTTGTAATACTTTTCTAGACTATTAAAGCAAATATTGTCCATCCTATATTTTCCTTTGAATGAATGGATCAGTATTGTCAGACAGATCAGAACAGGTGGTCAGACTGCCAGAACCTGGAACCAGCGGCCAAAATGGTTCTCAGGCTGCCTAGTTCCTAAAAATTTGATTTGGACAAAGCTACCTTAAATATCTATTATAATCAGTTGCAACCTATAATATTTATGTTTTAAGCTTATGTTGATATAAAATAGCTTCAAAAGATGATCTATAACTATTTACTATTTTTATTTTTCTTGTTTTTTTTGCATTTTTTTAATGAGTTGAACTGTCAAAATGGATGATCAGATCATTCGACCTGTGACTTGGTCACAAAAATGGTTTTGTGTCCTGTCCAGGTCTGACAATGGATAATATGGCAGACAATGATTGTTTAACCGTTAGCATAAAGTATGCTTTTTGGGCTATGGGTCATTAAAGATGCAGCACACCACTGCAGCTTTCATCTGACTTTAACCGCTTAACAAGGTCTGATCTATTCCTAACAATTTCATCCAGAAAATAAAGGCAGAGTGGCAGACAAGCCAAAATGCTAATGCATAAAAAAAATGCTGCAATGTCTTCTGTACAGAATACAGAGTGGGCAAAGAAAAAACAAAAGTAGCCCCTGATAGACCCCGAGAAATGACTGCATTACCAGCACAAATGACCAACATGTAACAGGGCAGGCATTGCTTCATATATTCATTAATTGAACTTTCAAAATGGGATTCTAGGGTCCAACATTACTTTTAAGCATATGAATGATTGTTATTTAACATTTCATGATGGGACTCAAACCCACTAGCTCCACTTTGTAACTCCCCAATGCCCTATAATAAAGAACCTCTGAAGCAAAGTATTGACCAAAAATAATACCCATGAAAATTTTTTCAGCTTGGAATACCTGATCAAGTCCTAAACACTAATAGATGCAGAAACTACATCAACAACTTTTGAATGTTCAGAATGGTGACTGCCAAATTTAAAAAATGAAATAAATAAAGAAGGTGCCAAATGCATTTATAAAAAGAGATGACGCCTAAAAACTGAACAAACATATAACACGTGAAACAGAAAGCGAGAAATGTGACTAAACCAATCAAAGCTTACCTGCTTCATGCAGCTGCTGAACACTCAATCTATCAAAGAACAGCATCCGTTCACAGTACTTGTCATACACTGTATCAAACCGAATCTGTGGGCAACCATTTTCCACTTCGGGTTCCCTCCACTCGCTCGAGCTTGTCTCCTCTTCTTCCTCTTCTTCCTCTTCCGGGCACGATTCTTCAGGTATCAAAACCATGAAACTGTTCCTTCTCAGCTCTTTTAGCCGCCTCTTCACTTCATTAGTTATAAAATCATCGTCATCGTCATCCTCAACATCAGCTGGAGCATCAGCCTTGGCTGATTTAGTCAAGTCATCTCCACTCTCATTCTTCAGTTGCTCAGGTGGTGGAACCGGCCTATCCTCCTGATCTTTCTCCGGGTCAGGCTTATGAGCTTTTCTGAACTTCTTTACTTTGAAGAAATCCATCTGATCTTCTGATTTTTATGAAATAAATAGCCTTTTCTTCAACAACTACAAAAAACCCAGATTCTTACTTTTTCCCCCTTTTTGTTAAAAGCTTTTCAAAAGATCGGTTCCTTCGGTCCTTCCTCCTCAAACACAACTTGGATCTAGAACAGTACTCCAACTCTAGATTCACAACGGTAAAAAGTTCTCTTTGCAGAAACGGAACAACTTCCTTGTTCGAAGAATAATAAGAATACCTTTCCCTGAAAAAGAAATGGAGGTCACGTAAGAATAATAATATAAACATCAAATACTAACAATATATTAAATTAGATAAGGCTAATACAGCAAATCCACCATGGTCGTAAAAACAAAAGCATGTTTGTCAACAGAGATTTGAGATTTCTGAACCAACAGTAAGCTAACAACAGCTAAAAACACCTACACATCCAACATCCTCCTTCAGAAAATTCACTGCAACTTCCCCAAACACAATGTAGAAAATTTAAGCAAGCTCAAAGTACCTAGAACGAGATTCTAGTTGCAAACGACAGCTAGAAGCCCATTTGCTTTTCAACCCTTCGAACGTTCCAAGTACATTTCCACCAACTTCAAGATTTCCGAAACACCGCAAAACTTTGAAAGAACGCACCCAAAATCCCGCGATTGGGGCACCTTAAAACAGCATCCAACAGCAACTTCAAATCTCAGAAGATCTGCACCCCTTCATCACTCATCACAGCACCATTTCAATTCGAACTACAATAACCCATGAAGAAGCTCGAAAACACATTTCAAAAGTACCATGAAGCTTAAACAAAACCCTAAAACCTCAGAAGGTCGGCTCTTAAAGTAAGCTCATTCACAGTACCGCCATTGCCTCCAACAAGAACCTCGAAATACCGAAAAACTTGAAGCAAATCGAGAAAACCTTTACCACGTAAAGTGATCGGGTTTCTGAAACCCAAGAAATCTCAGGAACCCTAAGATCAAAGGATTTTCTCCAAATACGAGACAAACCCTTACAGGAGAAGGAGACGGAGGTGGTGAGCGCTAATAAATTCCAATTAGCAAAAATAATAAAAGAAAATTTATTGATTTCCATGTTTTTGGAAAAATAAAACTCCTTTTTCAATTTTTTAGTTCTAATCTTGTTTTAATCTCGTCTAACTCGCTCGCGTTGGACTCGAAGAGGAGCACGAAAGCCTAGAAAAAATAGGCGGGGCGTACAGTGTGCGCAGAGGGAATATTGTCAGAGACTCTCTCCTGAAGCAGAAACACAGAATGGCATAAATTGCCAAATATGTCCTTGCATGAACTTAAATGACTCGTATGTCCCTTTTTCTGGCGGAAAAAGTTTTCAAAAGGTACCACCACCCCGAGTTGTCTTTATCTGCATTATAGTGGAAATGGATTTTTCTTGTCGGAACACGGTCGAAGCCGGGGTGAACGAGTCATGGCAACGGGTCAGTGGTTCAACCATCTCATCCACGGGTAAACAACACAGTTCAAGCTGTAAATCGGCCGTGCCACCCGACCCGGCATGATTTTGCATCGGCACGGCCCGGTACAACAGCACACAGGTCGTGCCAGGCACAGCACAATTGTATGGGTCGTGTTGGGTCAGGGATTTCAGGTCCATGTGTCGGCACTATGCATGTCGTGCCACCCATGGCCCAGCCCATAGCATGGCCCACGGGCCCAATACAGGCCGAGTGCAGCCCATCCAAGAAAACTAGCCATTGGAGCCTTAGGGGAACCCCAAAAAGACTAGTTTCAGCTTTTTTAGGGGGTTTTTACAAAAATACCCCATTTAATCAACAACTATAAACCTATAAATAGCTATATAGGGGGGTATTTATGTATTTTGGCTTTGGAGGGAAGGAAAAAGACAATATAGTGCCCCTCTAACAGCTATGTCTTATAATGCAATAGCTAGTTTGGAAGTTGGGGTAAAGCGATAAATAACTTTATAATAACCAAAATACCCATTCCAATAATTAAAAATAGCTAGTTTTTAAGGTATTTTGGGCAATTGAATTATTTTCAATTCTTATAATCCAATTAAGTAATTATGAATTATCTTTTCAAGTCTTTAATCTCATTATCTAATACTTTCTCAGTCTCTCCTATCAATGATCTCATATCGTCGTAGTAATACACTTAACAATAGGAGGCTTTGGCCTTTGAGGCTTTAACTTTTAAAATCAAGTTGAGGTTCTGAACCAGTAATCTAGCCATCCAGGTAAGTGTAATTAAATTGATTTTTTTTGTTTAGAATTAAAAAAAAAAAAGTTGGTTCTTCCTCCCCAACAGTAAGTTCACTGGCTCGATTTAGAAAGTATTTAAAATAAATGAGGTTGAGGGGAAGGAAAAAAGTGTTGTTTGCCAAAAATGTAGGGTTGACTTTAACTTTAGTGGCAAGGGTGGTACTGGCCACTCAGGCAAACATTTGCTCTTCAATGAGAAACAATAAAAAGAAATCTACTTTAAAGATTTATTGGATGTTAAGAATAAATTACAATACAAAAAATGGCATGACACTACTATACCTGATGAAGCAAATGATTGAAGTCAAAGAGATGGAGTAGTTTTTTCAATTTCATTAATCTTACTTTCTCGTATAGTTTAACTTATTTACTAAAACTTACCCTCTAATTTGTATATTATTAAAACACCCTAGTAGTTTGTAACCAAATTCAAAATATTATTGTACATGTCAACACTAAATGTAAGCCCCAAATAATTATGAATGAGGTATAAATATATAATAAATGCACAATTAATAGTTTATACAAAGAGATATTTTATAATCATCTAGGAGTCCAACACATGCATATCTCGTTCAATATTGTTAACATATCAAATAGTGTTTTAAGCTTTCAATCTATTAAAATAGATTAGTTTTATATTTTTTATTTTTATATTCTAAAAATGCATAAATGAAATAAAGACCACAAAGCTAACCACGAATTTATAAGTTTTTGCAATTCGAATCCCCAAAAGCATACATAAATTGAACATGAATGATTTTCTATAAAAAACGCAAACATGAATGATTAAATAAAAAATAAAATTACTTATTCTTCATGTTACATTTTTTCCTTTAGTCTTTTAGGTTGGGAATGAAAAAAGGCAATCCCAACTGTGATTAGTACAAACAATATAATGATAAAGTTAGGGATGCAAATTGATGACATCGAATTCGTCCGATATGTCCAAAGATTTGACCGGATCTGATAGGATTCGATTTAAATTTGAATCTTATCAATAAGTCGAATCTTCGGTTTTGATCTGATCCAACTTGTTTTATTTAAAAATTAACGAATTATTAAAATATATTAATTTAAATAAAGTAAAGACAAAAAATACAAGTGCTTTTTTAATCATTTTCATCATATATATACATGCTTTTTGTAAAAATAAATAAATAATATAATAAATTTATAAATAAATAAATAACATATATATATATATATATATATATATCGAATAGGGGTGATCCGAATCTGATCCGAAGATCCAAACAAAAATGATCCGAATTCAACCAAATAGGATCAGATCTCGAATCCGATCCATTTGCACTCCTAGATAAGGTTCTAAAAATTTGGAAATATTGGTTAAAATTCCCCCCCCCCCCCAAAAAAAAAAAAAAGGTTTTACCAATGAATACATCATATCCATGGGTATCCAATTGTATCAATCAATACATTTTGATACATTACTATACAATTGATGCATTATTGAGTATTGGCACAAGTGGAATTTCCACAACCATTCCTAAGACACATAAAATTTTTGTTCGCAAGTCACCATGATAACTCGGGGGTGCAACTTAGGCGGGCCCAGCCCAAGCCCCGAACGGCCCAGCCCTTAATTTTGTACGAGATGGGCCTAGTTTTTTTATTCTTGGATTGGGCCTAGGCTTTTAGAAGTCAGGCTTTCCCATTTTCGAGCCGGTCTCAGGCTTAACCCTTTGAACAATCCAAGACCGGACCGATGTATACCCGAGCCTGAACCGAATATTATATTATATAATATATTTATATATTAATGTATATTATTTAAAATCCAATATGACGGTGCTAGGTGTAAGTTTATAACAATCAACCGTCAATTACAAAGTAAAAAACCCTTTGTAGACACCTTATTTTTGCGCTCTTCAGTCTTTCTGCAGCACTTTGAGTTTCAAGCATACTTCAGCTAATCCTGTGGTCGACTTGGGGTATTTTTTGGAATTTTATAAAAGTTTGGGCCTCAAAGATCTAAAACCATAGGTACGTAGAGCCCAAAAAAACAAACCCAATGACACCAATATCACCCAAATCTGGCACTGCTTACCCCTTCATCTTTAGACCCAAAGCCGAAACTGATTATAATCGTTCGATCGGAGTCATTTTGACAAAAAACCACATTCACACCAAATCAGAAATCCAAAACCATAGGTACGTAGAGCCCAAAAAACCAAACCCAATGACACCAATATCACCAAAATCCGACACTATTTACCCCTTCATCTTTAGACCCAAAGTTGGAACTAATTCCGATCGTTCGATCAGAGTCATTTTGACCCAAACCACATTTCACACCAAATCAGAAATCCAAAACTATAGGTACGTAGATCCTGAAAATCCAAATCCAACGACATCAAGATCACCCAAATCCAACACTGTTTATCCTTTCATCTTTAGGTCCAAAGTCGGAACTAATTCCGATTGTCCGGTCGAAATCATTTTGACCCTAAACCACATTTCACACCAAATCAGAAATCCAAAACTATAGGTACGTAGATCATGAAAATCCAAATCTAACGACAACAAGATCACCCAAATCCAACACCGTTTACCCCTTCATCCTGATACCCAAAGTTGAAACCGATTCCGATCATCTAATCGGAGTCATTTTAAACATAATCATCATTTCGCATCAAATCCAAAATCCGAGACCATAGGTACGTAGAACCCAAAAATCCAAATCCAACGACACCAAGATCACCCGAATCCGACACCGCTTACCCCTTCATCTCAAGACCTAAAACCAAAACCGATTTCGATCGTCTGATCGAGATCATCTCTGATCCTAAATCCTAACCCCCATAAAATCTGAAATCCAACCTTATAGATGGATAGAGCTTGAAATTCCGAGTCCAATGGTAACAAGATCATCCAATTCCGACACCATTAGCCCTTCCATCTTGAGACTCGAAGATAGACTCGATCCAGACCCTCTGTCTAGAATCCTATTCACAATAACTTCGAACCTAGGGCATTTCACGACCCAAACTTCCTCTAGAAACCCAAAATCTAAGATTTGACCCGCTATAGCCTCCAATCAATCAAGTCAATCACCTAAACTTGGAATGTCCAAGTTAGGTAAATTGGTGAAATCTTTCACTCTTTGTCTTGATTGATTGAGAAAATCTGTCTTGACAGCCCATTATCTCAATCAATCTCCTTCAAAAAAACTATTTAAGCATCAACCATTGATTTCCCTTATCTTCCATCTCAGCCCTCCATTCTCCTCTCAAAAAATCTATAAATACTACCCCTTTCTCACATCCTAGACACATAATAAAGCCTAGAGATCCTACACTCACCAGTGTAGAGAATACCCCTTCACGTCCCAAGTAGCCCCAAGCTTCCCTAAGTCATGTCCTACACTCTTTCTCCACCATCTCTCATGTCCCTAGAGTCCCCGTATCAGTGTTTCAGTCTAAGAGCTCCCCAAGTCGTGTATACACCAAAGAGATGAAGTTGAAAGCATTCTTCAAACAACAACATTGCAACAGATAGACAGTAGTGTTTTCTCCCATATTGAACCACATTCTAACACTCCAAAAGCACTCTAAATCCTTTTGATAACAAGTCAAAAGTTGAGGATTGGTCATGAATTCATTTAAAGAGGAGAGAAGCTTAGGATTTGCTTGAGAGAATGCTGAAAAAACAGTTTACATAAATCTTTTTAAGTCATTTGGGCCATATACTCCTCATCTTTGTCCTTTTAAAATGATATTGAAGTCAGCGTGTTCTTCATGGTGCAAGAGGTGCATTCGAAGAAAATTTCCCTTG